ACAATTCTTATGATTGGAGTTTTTTATCTTTGGAAACTGCGCACGGGAGAGCACACGCGCTGTTTTTACAGGCTGACATCACAGTGATACTGAAACCTGAAGCCGCTGATTAAAAACTTTATATTGGATGTTTAGAAGAAACACGAACTGTTTGAAAGTGTCTGCGCAACACTGCATCAGACACACACTGTTCTGCCCCCTGTGGGATTTTGCTCTTTAAAGTGAAACCAGAAGTGTTTGTTTATTTTGATCTGTTTGTTGTTGTGTGACGCCCCCAAGCGTGCCAACAAAACAGGAGAAGTGTTACGACCCTCACGACCCAACGCTCAAATTTGTCGATAAAGAGGATGATTTAGACTGTGAGTATCACGTGGGCACTTTTCAGGGTCAACCAAGTGATGTCAACCATATCAAAATATAATGTAGCAATAGTAAAACCCAAACAAACACATCAACCAACATTTATTCTAGCATAAATCAATTTTTTTTTCTTGTGTGATTGTTCTCAGTCTTGTGTGAAGGCTTCAAATCTCTCAGAGCTCAGATGTCCTGTGGTCACGCTGTGACCCCGACCTCTCTCACCAACTGGTGTCGCAGGTTGTTGGACCAGGTAGGCAACTAAGGATTGTCTTTGTTAAAATAAACAATATGTGGAAATGTGAAATATGTCTCCCCTCTACATACACTCACACTGAAGTGTAGCTCAAACCAGTGGTGGATAAATAACTACGGCATATGGAAATAGATCCCACCACCAAAGGCACCCAGTCACCTCAATCTTTAGGCCTTCAGCTTCTGAATGAAACAAAAACACAAGTTATTAATGTATCTGCTGATCAGTTGCTATTCTACACTAATGTGTCTTCAAAGAAAAGTTTAGTAAGTGCATGGTTCAGAACAGTGAGCCAAATCTTTTAGTTTTTGTGGCCATCCTCCCTCCCAGTTTCTCATGTGCCTCCTTGGGAAAATGACAGCCTACCTTGACTTCTCCTGGATATGATGCTGGGGGTTTTCGCTGGTATCATCAACTTCTTTGGAGTGAGTCTGATAAATTATCTGTGATTATTTCAACAAAGGGTGAAAGCAGATTTGTGTGTGGCGGGTCTGGTTGTAGTGCTGAGTGGAGTTTTTCAGAGGTCTGTAAAATGGCTCTGCTGACCCCGGAAGAAACGGAGCATTTTCAGAAGACTTTGGCAGTCAACACTAACAGGCAGACACTTATTACTAAAGCAGTAAGTATCTCACTAAAATGCTACAATTTCATGAAAACAGAAATGTATTTCTTATAAAACATTTTACTGCATATTAAATACTGTCACTCTCCTGAATCCATGTAGTGTCCTGGATGCAGATCCACTGTGATGAGAGAGAATGGATCAGACTTGAATGTCCTCTGTGAAGTGTGCACAGCAGTAAAAGGACGGCCGTTTGAATTCTGTTGGCAGTGTTTGAGGGAGTGGAAGGGTGCACGGCCTCGGAAGGACCGCTGTGGAAATTATGGCTGCTGT